CCGCCTCCTCCTCCTCCTTTTCCTCCCCCGCCTGCCACAACCATCAACGTCTCTGGTGTGAGTATGGTTAAAATCCGCAAGCGTGGAATCACCCCCCTTTCTGTTTCCCCCCTCCGTAACAGACCGGGATCTCCTCCCCTCCCCCCCCCCTCCCGGCCCCCTCTTCCCCCGCCTCTTTCTACGGCGTCGCACTCGTCGCGCTGTCTTCCGCGCGCACACTCACTTCAGCAGACGTTTTCTACTACCCGCGTGTCCGTCTCGCCTGCCCCTGCGTCTCCTTTCCTCCTCCTCCGCCTCCTCCTCCTCCTTTTCCTCCCCCGCCTGCTCCTCCTCCTCCTCCTCACGGCTGTATCCCTACCGTCTACTATCTTCTTATCTTCGCTCTTCACGCTTGCTTGCCGCCGCCTTCCTCATAATTGAACGCGGGCATTGGATCTGTATGTTTGGCCATTCGAGGCCAGGTACAGATACGATTTGCTCGCGTTCTATTTGGAAAGGGGGGTAATACGGCAATCCTCTATAGCGACTGTGTGCTTTATGGAAGTCGGGATCGAGATGGATGACGAAGTCTCCAGCCTGACCGGCGATCCTCGTCGGCGTCTGTGTGGTGTATGGCAGCCGGGATCGGGATGGATGACGTAGTCTCCAACCTGAACGGCGATCCAGGCGCTTCGATCCCGCCTGTTGTCGATTTGATTTGATTTTTTTTGGAGGATGGATCAGTGCACTTACGCTCATTGAATTACTATAGCTTATCTTTTTTTTTTTTTTTTTTTTGGTCTTGTTTTTGCACAGGCTCTTTTAAGAGCATCCTCAGACAAAAAAAGACAAAAAAAGCTTTCATGGAGGATGAATTTTTGGAAAGGCTCCTTTTGCGGGCTTTTCTTTCCTGGGGCGGTATTTTTAGAGGTATCTCTTCCGCCCAATTAACACCCCGTCATCATGAATGTATAAAACTCTGATCCAGTCCAAATACAGTCATGATGCTGGGGCTTTGTATTCGAGGGAAGAAGGTAGGTCTCTGCGAACGGTAGCGCCTGCACAGAGAGAGAGAGAGAGAGAGAGAGAGAGAGAGAGAGAGAGAGAGAGAGAGAGAGAGAGAGAGAGAGAGCAGAGGGAGGGAGCAAACCGGTTACCGCCTCCAACCAAACACACAACGCACCCTCATTTTGACTGTATGGGACCGTAAAGACAGCCTGTATACATTCGTGATCAGGGTGCGTTGTGTTCGGGGGAAGAGCACACACACACACACACACACAGAGAGAGAGAGAGAGAGAGAGAGAGAGAGAGAGAGAGAGAGAGAGAGAGAGAGAGAGAGAGAGAGAGAGAGCAAACTGGGTACCGACCGCCTTCCTCCGAACTCAACGCGCCCTCATTATGACTGTACGGGACCGTAAAGATAGACTGTATACATTCGTGATCAGGGTGCGTCGTGTTCTGGGGACGACGGTAGTGGATTGTTCTGTCTGCGATATTACTTTAGTATCGTGTGTGAGGCCTGTGGTTAGGCGCCCTCATTTTGACTGTATGGGACCGTAAAGACAGCCTGTATACATTCGTGATCTGAGTGCGTCGTGTTCCTGTGAGGCCTGTCCGATCTGGCTATGGCGTTGAGAGAAATGTGGAGATATGGGTGAGGGAGGGAATTGGGAATGGGGTTTGGGAGAAAGGGTGGAAAGGGAGGACGGAGACGTGTTTGGTATGTCTGAGTGAGTCGTGGTAGAGCTCATCACAGGGGTTTGTGCGCAATGCGCGGGTCCACCACATGTTTTTTTTTTTTTTCTTTTAATTTTCTTTCTTTTTTTTTCTCTTGGGTTGTTGTCGTTGTTGTTGCATAAATAACAGGGTTAATTAATTAAATATGACGCCGTCTTCCTCCGAATACAGCGCAGCCTCATCATGAATGTATTGGACTGGACTTTAGCTCTGTATACAGCATTCAGGATTAGGGTGCGTTGTGCTCGGCGGGGGGGAAGACGGGTTGACATCTCTGGTGCGTGGCCACAGGTGCAAATGCCTGCGTCCAAGTGTACCTAGATCACCACGATTTCCTGGTACAGATCATGTACCTGACCGTCTTCAAGTCCAGGTGCGTGCTCGCATGGCGCGAACCACGCGAGTTGTTATATACATGTATATGTATTGATACTGAAATTTAATTGGACGTAGACGTCTGTAGTTGGCCATGCTTGTGTCAAATGCCTCTGTCAAAGTGCACCTGGATGACCGCACTGCTCAGGTACATATCACGAACCTGACCGCCTTCAAGTCCAGGTGCACTCTTGACAGGTATATGGGCTGGTGGGTTAAGTCAATGTTACAGATGCATTCCTCCGATAACTTCGACGTGAACTCTCCCTCAACTTTCTTCCATGGCAGTCGTCGATGCACTTAGTCAGTGGGCTTGACCAGGTTCGTTGATTTCGGCAGGAATGGAGGGAGGGGGAAGAAGGAAGAGGGAGCAGATGGCACACGGAGGAGAGGGGGGAGAAAGGAGGTGGGGGGAGGGGATGTGGATGGGGAGGGAGAGTTGGGGAAGGGAGGGTATGGACGACGGAGGGGATGAAGGAAGGAGAAGGGAGGACATGGGAGGTGGAGGGGATAGGAAAGGGAGGGGGAGTGATCGACTCTTCCACGCGGTCCTGGGGGAACTCGTTTCGGGGTTGGACCTGCTGTGTGTAAGGAGAGAGGGCGAGAGAGGAGTTTTCTTTCAACTCCTTTACCCAGTTCTTTCTTGAGCCTATCATCGGCTCTCTCTCTCTCTCTGTCCCTGTCTCTCTCCCCCTCTCTCTCCCTCTCTCTCCCTCTTCCTTTTTGCCTCGATCTATTGAAACTCTTGTCCTCCATCTCTCTGTGTCAGGGCGGGGAATAAAAAAAGGATGGGGAAAGAGGGGGGGTGGGGGGTGATTCCGACCCCCCCCTAATGCCTGATGGACATTTCTCTTGATGGCTTGTTCTTTCCGTTTCTTTGTCTCTCTCGGGGCTGTCTTCTCCCGAACACAACGCACCCTCATCTTGGCTGTATCAAACCGGAAAATAGCTTGTATACTTGCATGACGAAGGTGCATTGTGTTGGGGGGGAGACGGTAGTCCTCTTTTCTCCTCAGCTCTGCCGTTCCCCCTC